ACAATATCGGTCCTGAAAACTGATCCTTCGCACTGTGATCATGCGGGAGCAGATCATGGTCTCAATGAAAAATATTCATGTCACTCACACAGAAAATGATGATGCACATCTTGTTTTCTGACAGCTCTGTTTGTTTCCTGAACGTGAAAGGGTTTCCGCTTACTATGAATCTCAGTTCAGAAGATGGTACCCAACTTTTGGGAGGAGTATTATCTGTTCATAGCTCCAGTAAAAGCTACTTAAGCTTTTGCAAATATTCTGGTAGAATAAGAACACTTGTAACGAAGAGCAGGGAGCCATTGCACATGGTCCAACATTCATAAAACATCTGGACAAATCCCCGATGCGCCAAACGCTCGCAACTGGATACGTTGAGATTGAAACAGTCCTTGAAATATCGATGGCACTGAAGGTTGTCCAAAATCTTCCTTCACTGCTGGCAATGTGAACAAAAGTAGCAGTCTCTGTGTAGATGACTCTCAGAGCCTGTCGGAAAGGTGTGTGTCTTAGTGTTCACACCATGTTGATGCATGTTATGATTTTCTACATACTCTTGGCCTGCATGATGTACGCTGATGGAGTTTGTAAAACTCAAACTTCAAGTAGATATGACGATAGTGGTCGTCATCGTCTTCGTGTGTGAAATTTACTGGTAGCTGTGGAGGACAGAATCAGAGGAGAAGCAGATAACCTCTTGTATACATGACAAGTCCTTCCTAACCAATATGAAAACTTTTACCACGGTCTTTTCAAAATTCTTGCGAAGAACACCACAAACGAAAAACTTCAGCTTTGAGCAACTGACTTGAGAAATATGCAGCTTGATGTCAAGTGCAGCTGTCTTGGAGGAGTGGTTCAGGTTCTGTCGGACTCGACTGTACTTTGCTTCCTGATCATGATCGTTGACTACTTCATAAATTAGTGCTTCGAGGACACCACATCCGAATCCAGCAATAAGCTATCAGAAGTTTACTGATGTAAAGAGCTTTCAGTGAAGGATACAGATGAAAACCAACGAGACGATTCTTTGATGTCAGAAGTAATTCGTGAGTTTCGATCGAATCGTAAAATGTATCTTTTTCGGTCTGTACTAACTGGAACTGGCTCAAAGGTCGCACATCCGCACCATCACCAGAGCTGTCTGGATCACATGAGTGGTGTAATTTTCGAAACAAACTCATTGACCACAGAAAGCTTCCTTAGGTCGGTACCATTCAGCATTTCCATATGTCTGTGAATTTACTTCGTAACTACAGAAGGAAAGCATGATCACTCCGCAGAAACGAGAAACAGATTCCTCATCGTTCTTGCTACATATCTTGCACAGTATCAAAATTGCAGCAGTCATGCTCACCGGTAAACTGAGGAAAGCTGAAGCGTTCGTGAAGGAAACTGTACATATGTTTGGAAGAAGAGCCCATCGTGACAAATCCGAATTTCAGAGCTGCTGTCCGCCAGCAGGAGGAGGAGGATAGGCGCCTGGAAACTGCTAAAATTCTTCAGTCTGTGCACGTAATGTCACCGCAACATGTTCCTGCCGAGACACAAGGACATTTCCAGTCCTTGATTAGAATGAGCATCACGTTCCTTTCAGCTGCAAGACCTGATAACTGTTACCTCCCTTGGACTAAGTCCCATGAGTGTGCATTGTGTGAATTAAAAGTTTGATGTAATACAAGTTTCCCTGGCTTCTAGGTTCTGCTCACCGTGTCTCTGCACATCAGGATCATAGCCTGTTACCAAAGCTTTGGCTGTCAACCATGACACAGAGAGTAAATAAATGACGCTTTTATTCAAGAAAGGTCGGGAAGGATGCTTCCCGCCTCACTTGAGATCCAACTGTAGAGAACCTAACCAGGTGGGGGACTCAAACGATTTCCTCTCTTGGAAGGACCAGATGCTGGCGAGAAAACTTGGTCGATCTTACATCGGGACGTGAAAAACCGAAACTCTGCACTGAAAGAATGAAAAACTGGTGACAATCTTGTTTCATATTAATTTCATATGTTCGTATCATAATATGGAATTTTTTGGACTCCTAGTACTTGCAAATCCAGTATTGGTTTCTCCACATGTTATCCATAAAAACATTTTAAATTTTTCTTAGGAAAAATTTGATACACTTGAATGCTTGGAGACATAAATCAAAATTTGAACTATATGCAACATTGTATTTTTAAATGGTATGAAATTGAATATGTCTAATAATAGAAAGCACCACTTTTACGTAAAATAAAATCCTTTCACATACAGCTTACATATGTAAAGTATGTCACGAGCGTTTATCCTCATCAAATGTAGACTTTTCATGAGACTCATACGAAATAGTCTTTTGGTGTAATCGCCAATCATCTCCTATTATCTTACATATGTTGGAGATCATATGTTTCAAGGACCTAAAAACTTGAGACAAATTTTCTTTGGGTTTCTAACTGTAAACTTACCACAGGATAAGAACTTCTGCGAAATTCATGAATTTCTTGTACAAACGTATCGAAGTAATATTCTCCTCAACTCCTGCTCCTTTTTGCTTTTGCAATGTACTCATGGTTTTGTCTAACCTGAGAAAACTTTGACATGAGTCTGATACCTCCTAAGATCTATTAGTAATTGGTCTGGTTATTCTAGTCGGTCGCATAAGGAAAGTTAATTTAGATAGTTTAGGCGCTTTGTGTTAAAAGCCACGTTGAGTGCACTTGAAAACTAAAAACTAATGAGGGGTTCGAAGAGAGAGAAAGTCAACATCAATCGTCGGTTGTGAGTCTCATGGGCGAGGGAAAAATTAATTTACAAACTCAGGATTATGACCTGGGTGAGTTCTGAGGCTTACGTGGTTATAAACCAACTAACAATCATCACACCTTATTGGCTAACATGTCACAAGCTTCAATTTTGACCCAATCATAGTGTAGATTGTGTAGCTCTTGTTAGATTAGGCGCTAGGAGAAACTTCAGTTTAGGTAATTTAGGCGCCTCGGTATAGGGTCGCCTAGAACAACCATGCCTGCGTATGACCCACACAATCTACTCGATAATATCCCTTGTTTGTAAGTTTTGACATAAATTTAGAATTCTAGCTCTTCTTCAGAGGTGTTTTTATGATCGATCTAGCTTCTCAGAAACTGCAAAAATCCACAATAGTTGATTTGTAATATCTCAATGATTAGCAGAGGTGTCACTATCAGATATAAAAAATTTACTTCAATTTTATCACTTTATATGTACACAGTTGGAAAAATCAATTATTTTTGTGCGTGAATATTGTTTAATATATACACCCAGCAATGTCATTGCTCTGCTCTAGAAAAGAAATCAGAAAAGAGGACTGATGTTCCACTTAATAGAAATTTGATTTGAAGCTAATGTGAGGTTACTAATTATAAGGATTAAAAAATAACATTTTCCATTTAAAAAATCGTAATGGCATAAATTTTAGCTAGGGTTAAATTAAGATGACTTTGCGTTGTATATAGCAGCTATTACCATATAATACATCATAAGAGTTTGCCAAAAACTTTTATTGAGTTGTTCATGTTATATTTTATCAAAGAATAAGAATAAAAATCTATTCTTCAAGATAAAAAAAACTTGTATCTAGATGTTGACCAACGCATGTACAATATTTTAGACCAACATTTTTTGTACAATAAAATACATGAAATTCAGGAATCAATTTCACTTTGAACAGTGAATCAAATCGAATCTCAGCTTATCTTGTGTTAGTTATTAAAGACTGAAACATTTCTTGAAGGAAAAAATTACTTCTCTCCAAAGCAAAAACATTTTAGACTATTATTTGTATGTGAAAGATAACTACTTTGGACTATATGTTTATTTGGATGTATCTTTATTTGATTTGCTGTTAAATTGAAATGATTCAAATTTTATGTAATTGCACTGGAAATAAATCTCTTTTCTCTTGTGTTAGTTCGGTATGGGTCTCAAATAATGGACTTTCTTCAAATAATTCACAGAGGAACTAATATTTTAAAGTATGTTTTAATATTTTTAAAACATATTTGTGTATCAATATTTGAAAAAATATATCTATAAATGAATAAGCAAGTATTCTTAATAAGTTGAAATTACGAGATAAACGCATAGTCTTAAAAGTATGAGAAGAAATGCAATAAAATCTTAGAGATGTGGTGAAAATATTTTGTACAAATAACGATTCTATGTACATTCATATCTATTTATGAATGATACATGATAAACTCAGCAAATGTTGATTTTATTGATCAAAAGTTGAAACTGTTCATCTAATTTTTAGCTAATCATATTCAAATAAAGATATTTAAGTTGAAAATTTTATTTATAGACGTAGTGCTTAAATTCATTCAATCAGGTTGATAATGCTTGTATGATGACTTTTTTAGAAAGAAAACTCGCCCTCCTTTTTCAGACATTTGTCCTATCAAATCTAGATTTCCTAAGCAATTCATAAATTCTGAACTAAATCACGCTATCAATAAGATGTAACATTTTCTGTAAACTAGTGTTATGTGAAGATTGAAATCATCGGGTTTATTGTGTGATGTGCTATATGTAGCATTTTCCTTTTTTTAAAAGTGGAAATAAGTAAAATTTATTGAATCTTGTTACAATAGTATACATGTGCAAAATTAACGAAATGCAAGTTCACTGAGGAAAATGCAAATATGATACTTTACATATAAGAAAACATAACAACAGTATGACTAACGAATTCTAGAAAGTATTATATAATTGATAGTGTTGGCGGCTCTGAATTCCCATCATATAGAAATCGATCTTCATCTTTTCTCGTGATATTTCATAATTAATATCAGAAACATGAAGAAAATAAAGTTTTAAATTTGAACAGGAAGATTAAGTGCAAATTCAATATTTGAAAATTGCACGTAAATAAAAGAAAAAACTGAAGCATGGTTTCTTATTAAACCAATCTATCGAGTTTAGGAGATGACTCCAAGCAGGCAAAGATGACCACCGGTGTCAAACGACATAAGGGGGAGTGGACTTGCAGATGACCTCATTATTCTTCTCCGACCATTTTCTTGGACATAGAAGTAGGAAGAAGTAACCTTCATTTTATATACAAATTTGCCACAACCTTTTTACATGGCTCCTAGAGATGGAGTGGTTAAGTAATCAAGCTCCCTTTCTGTGACTGAAGACTGGCTGCCCTCTTCAGTGCTATCTTACTGAGATACAGTGCATTTACAGCGTACAATACATCTCCGTAGGGTCCCAGTGCCTCCTCGCAAGTGGGTGTCTAGTTGCTGCTTGAAATTTGTAAAATTGGAGACAATGTGACGGTGGAGTTGAGCCGGAGGTCCAGAGCAACGATCGAGTATGGTGGTAGCATGATCTGCATGTCGGATTCAGGGTACGCCAAATTGCTGACCTGAGGCGTGATCTGAACAAACACCAAAAAAATGGATGAGAACTTCGATCGATGCTCACATTTACGCATCTTGTTGCTGAACCTGACCTCTGGGGGATTCGGACACACATAGAAGTGGAAGGAGCTGTCTCCATGGGACATGTTCAGCTTTGCAGTTGCGAAGGCATCCACACGAAAGGAAAGCCTTCACGAGAAAGTCCTACTAGACACGTTGCCAATGGTTGCCAATGGTTGCCAGTGAGAACGAGTAGGGAAGAATGAGAATCATGGTTGACATCAAGGGTGTCATGAACAAACCTTTTCAGGCATGGAGAACGAATTCTCATCCATCGTTTTATCTGAGGTCAGAGTGGCAACTGTCGAGTTGGGAAACGCAATGCCGTTTGCAGGTATACCGTTGAAGACTACGCGCATTGCCATCACATCTTTGCCAAAGTTCACGGCCTGGTCGCAAAATCCACCGACGCTCAGTAAAAACTTAACTCACTAGGATAGATAATCAAGCTGTTTGCAATTCACCTCGTCATTCACACCCTCAAATCTTCGACAGTTTAGCTCGCTGCTGCTGAGTCTCATTTTTCCTGAAATAAGAGGGTGATGGATGTGCTGAAAGTATTACTTTGATTACGATATATTCCCCATTCGTTTGAGGGTCATGCCTTCGAATGGCAGACACTACTGGAGTTGGGCCTCCATTCGCACCGGTTACGGAGTGCCCGAGGAGTTTAGCACCGCTCGAATGTTTGAAAAGCGTCTGTACCCAATAGCTCGGCGTGCCATATTGCTGCCAGCTATTGAAAACAATGGCATCGGGGTTCCATCTGTTCCAAACATATTCATCAAGCCATCAAAGGACACCCTTCACAGTCTGGACTCAGGTGGCAGTCAGTCAGTCGGGCAGTCAAAAACAGAGAGATGATCGGCAGCCGCTCTGAAAGCTACCATCAGAATAAACCGAGCTCAAGCTCTCCATTTCTCAAGATAAACGTGATGGAGCCAGCCAGCACTGCGTGTAGGATCTACACTAGTGAACTCTGTGGTCCTTGTCAACATCGGACGGTCTGACTGCAAAGCAATTGCGAGAGATAGCTTTGGTAAAACCAAGCACCAAAGAAAGCGTCCACCAGGCATTCCCAAGAAGTTTGTGTATCTAAACTCAGAACAGGTCTGAACTAACAAACAAAGGGAGTACCTCCGGTCCTTTTCATGCACGAAAAGTGGTGCATAGCTTGCCATCTCCACTACATCACTGCAAAGAGCACAAATACAAAGAAAAGTCAGCACTGCTCTCTCCGTCTCTCTATGTCAATTTGGTTTCATTCTCAGTGATTCTAGAGAATTTTGCTATGCCTGTTTGCTTTTAAGAATGAGATTGGCTATTGATTATACAGTTGATAAACACCTGTTTTTCTCCAACCCGATCATGAATGCTGCCTCGGCGATGGCCGCCAAGAGACTCCCAGTTCCTGAGTCCGAGCCAGTAACCGCATATTCACTAACAAAAACCTGCCACAGCAGCCGACGGCATTCAGCATACGGAAGTCTATAGAACTATGCCCACGACGTTCACAGTCTCGAGTTCATTTAACGAGACAGAATGGTAGAGTTCAGTCCGCACAAAGTACAAGCGTACATATGATTTCAAGGATGTCACATGCCCCCCATATTCCAAAAAAACTCCTCACCTTGGGACCCGAGTCCCTGGTCTTTTGATCGAACTGACTCTTCATGGCATACAAGTTGTTTGCATTTGTGTAGATCTGAGTACATGTGTACGAGGAAACATCAGCACTTATAGAATCTACGAGGCAGAGTAATACACGAACGACTTCACCTTGTAATTCTTCTTATCCCCGGGACCTTGCCAACGAGAACATGGATGCAACAATCGAATCAAGATTGGAATGAGGTCCTGGAACACAGTATCGTACATGAAAGTCGTACAAATCCGCAGGATGCCTGAGAGGCCCGTTCGTGGCGTCGCAGTTTGAGATGATACTTATGTCAGGATAGAGCAGCTTAATGGCCTTGTAGAACGCCATGTAGTTCTCTTCAAACAAAAACACGAGACGGTCTCAACAGCATTTCAGGTTTTCGTCGACGAAAACAACGGGGCTTAAGCTTGAATGCATTGCAAGAGAGATTGTACTGATGGGGCAGAAAGCCAGACCTTGGTAGTTTGGCTTCCAGCAATCTTCGTTGCCGATTGCAACGTGGCGAACATTGAAAGGATCAGGATGACCCATGGCCGCACGAATTGCACCAAATGTGCTCGTGCTTGGGCCCCTTGCAAACTCGAGACCGTCAAGAGCATCCTGCATAGTACCTTACCGTGAGTAAGAGAATAAGTAAATAAACAGAGTAACTAAACATCTCAAGGCTTCTGTCACAGTACTTCAAGGAACTCAAGGCGAACTCAAACCGTCTCGTTTTCTGTGTGAACTCGATGATTTAGAGAACAATGCAGTACCTGCACCCAGGGCTGGATGTTGCGTGGAGATATGCTGTAACTATGAGATATCCCTACAAAATGAACACACAATGTCACACGGACTCACTTCATTAGCCATGCCGAGCTAGATTTAGAATCTGACTTCCAGTCTATTTCCAAATCGCATCTCACTCACCATTATTAAAGACCCAAATTGGTGCTGTATTGAGATCCTCCGCTAGCTGCAAAAGGATGAAACAAGTCGAACCCGTGAGCTGTGCAGGTCTTGAGTCATCTGTGCAGAAGTATATTTATTCCCACTCAAGCTGAAACAATTACACCATGAACTTTCTCTAAGAGTTGGAAAACATAAGTCTTCCTTGCACATACGTAACCCACACTTTCAGCTACAAGAATATTTTATAAAAGTCGAGACGTCAGTCTAGATCGATGCACCATCATTGCTTCACTTCGATAATTCTTGTGGGAATCCCGGTCGTTACCCTAACGCCTTTTCATCCTAAGCCCGCCTTTTGAGTTGTACCTGAAGAAATTCGAAGTAACCCAGCCCATCATCCGACCAGTAATTCCAAACGTCTCCATAGTGGCCTGGCCTTTCCTCCCAGGGACCGATGGTGTCCCGCCATCTCCAAGCATTTTGAAGTCTTTCACCCTCGACATAGCATCCACCTGCGGTGAGATAGGAACTTAGAATGTCCACTACACACCATACCATCGCACCGGTTTCCATCGGACTCGAGTCATGACAGGCAAATACTAAACAAGAGGTTCATTGAGTATGAGCACGAAACTCTCAATTTTTGGAGCAAGATGGCGTGAGGTTGCAGAAAGCGACAATAATTTCTTGCAAGGATCCAATAACTACGAGGTTGTGTGGCAGTCACCTGGAAACCGAAGAAAGGCCGGTTTCAGTTCCTCCAACATCTCGGCCAGCTCTTTACGGAATCCATGACCCTAATCAATGACAAGTCCAAACTTTGATTCAGACCACAACAAACACAGAGAGACTAAGACAGATGCCGAGAATTTCCTCTCTCCTGTGTCAAGTATTGTGAAACGAGCTTTTCAGCAATCGATTACAGTCTTTGACCACTTCTATCCGCTAGCGTCAACACTTTTTCACTGGCCCTGATGTCATCGGACATGGAACTAAAGTGAAAACCCGATGTCATCTCATTGTCTCGTTCTCCGATGCCGAAGCCAAAGAACAAATGATGAAATGGTGAGTTTCCAAAGAGAAAGGAGCTGACAAGACCAGTCGGTAAAAAACCATTGCAAATGTCGAATGAATTCAATAATGTAACATTCAATTCTTGTTCTTTACTGTTGAAAAGTGCACTATCATGTGGTGCAGATTTTGCGCTCAATGAATGGACCGATCAGAAAAATTGACGAGGTCAAACCTTGTAGGTCTCTTCTGGGAAAGCAGACACCTGATCCAGCCAAATTGATCCAGACACGGATGTGGTAAAAGCAAGCTTCGCGTAATGATCAGTATCCGTCGCCACTAAATCAAACTGGTACTTCTGCCAGTCATAGCTACTGGCCTCGTCCACTCTGCAACCCGAAGAGGGAGGATATCGTAACGGCTACATGAAAATAAAACTCGGAAAGGTGGTTTACTTCACTGTCACGACTACGATATTCCCTGCCCCATTGCAGCAATAGCAAAGTTTGCGACTGGAAAGTGGTTCAGGATCTTACATCAAGAATTGTTGAGCCAAAACTCTGAGCTCATCTTGAGAGATGAATGCCACTGAGAGGTTGACCATCGCATCCGATCGCAGCCAGAATGTTATTTGGTAAGTTCTGCCTGCTCGCACATCCTGTAGCGCGCAGGGGACTAGTCAGAAATGCCCAAGCACTGGGATGCATCATCCACCCAACGCCACCTTCCCAATATTGTATGAAAGTAGATCCAATCTCTCTTGATGGATATTACTGGCCAAGAAAAGGCATCGATTTGGTTGTCAATTTCTTCAAAGCATCCCAGCTCGACAAAGAAGAGCTGGCCACACTCCTCCGCAGAGAATGGAAAAGAGCTGATTGCATTCGAGATTCACATCTGCAACAAATCCTGACCGCAAATCTTTCAACCATCGATAACTGAAAAGCACGAGCAATGCTGAGATAAACAAGTGTCTTGGACCGAGCAAGTTGGAGGGAGACTGCACTTACTATGCCCCAGTATCCGGGATTCGCCACTCCTACACCCCCGAGAGGACAAGCAGTTCCGTTTCCGCAAAGGATTTTCATGCGTAGAGCGATGGGGTTTCTGGGAAACAGCGAAGCTCGTTCTGTTGTCAGCATCACTTCGTTTTCCTTTCCCAGCGGAGACCATGGATCTATGCTTGATGGTGTATTCTGGCCCCCAGCCTCAAAGCCTGTCCACAACCAACGTCGGCATAATTCTTGTAACCATCCCATGCAGTTTTGTCATGAAGATCCAGCTCCTGCACTGATAGTTGTTTATATGTCGAGTCGGATCGAAAACCAAATCAGCAAAATCTATAGAGAATTTATCGTCGAAACAGAGCCGTTTTTCGTTCTTACGGCCAAGGATCGGTTTCCTTAAAACTTACTTCTTGAGTTTATGCCTTAACAAGATCTAGAAAGTTCCATATTGCAATTACTCCAAGGGGAATATGACCATCATGACAATGTCAGGGCGCTTTGTTCGCAAGCTTTACCTCGATTGTTGATAAGCTCTGCCCATAAGCCCCCAGCTCCGGCATGATTGATCTCCTGGAGCACCACTCGCTTGTTAGAACGAACGTCTAGCACTAGTCCTACCATTCCATGACTCCTGCAGGCTATGTCCCAGTATGTCCCAGACATATGATTTCGCAGGTCCAACATTCAGGCCTGACGACGAGTGAGCTTTAGATTGCCAAGCCCCAGAGCTCCCAACGTGAACCATCTCCTCGTGCCATGCATGGAAATTCGTCATGAGCCAAGGAAACTGGATGACTCGCAAAGCTCTGTCTGAACTCTGTTTTAGGAGGGGATGGACGATCTCACTAGCGGCCCAAATGCAGGGCCGAAGGTTCTTTCTGAGAAAGAAGCTTTCATTGCTCGGCAGGCACAGAGGACGGAGATTTGGGATATTAGCTGTGATCGTAACGAAGAAAAGGGAACGCAGAAATTGACTGCACGACGGATTCTACTCATAACCAGAATTCTGCTCGTTTACCTAGATGGGCCAATTGAACCAAGAATCTGAAGGATGATGGAGTGCGTTAAGCTTCGTCAATATTTTGCAAGCGCCCGAGGCAGTAATGAATCAGAGCAGAATATTGGAAAACCGACCGCAGCCACTGACTGACTCGTGGAGACCAGATTTTCAGGCTCAGACCTCACCTCGAAGAATATGCCGAACAGAGTCTGGGACATATCGCGACCGCGATCAGCTCCTTCCACTGTGAGAGTGACGATCGGATCCTGGACACCTTTAGGAGTGCCCGACGAATCAAAGCGGTGGTACGCCAAAACCATAGCCAGCAGCAACCAAGGGGACGTCCACAGAGCTGCCGTTTTCACCTTGCTCATCGTTCTTCGCCGGTCGCCCTGAAATCGAACAAGATAAAACGATGTGCGTTAGTGACACTGCTGGCTCTTGCTCTTGCTCTTGCTCTTGATTACCAAGAAGCTCATCAAGAGGAAGAGCGAACCAGCTCTCGACAGATGTTGCGGAGCTGTCCTGCACCTCCTCCGTGAAGGAGACTGAAGAGCGGAATTGGTTCCTTCGGAAGACAGAGCTTGGAACGCAGATGAGGGAATACATGGATACATCGCAGGCTATGGTTAGATTGTCTCCGATGATCGGTCGACGCTTCCTACAATTTTCTAGTCGCTCCGCATGCTTCAGCAATTGTTTATGCTGCACAGCTCATGTCGAACTTCCGAAGTCAATTGTGTTGTTTATGGCGAGAATGCGAAAGACGCATGCGCAGCACATTCACGCCGACGAGGACGAACTCGGAAATCAAGAAGTGTAGCTGGCATTGAACGAAATTCAGGGGCCCGGTTCTGCTCTAGCGTCACGGATGGGCGCCGCAGGGCGACCGCGAAGTGGAAGGAAGAGTCAAGCAGCGAATCGGTGTCTGCAGATCGAGCGGATTCGGACGGCAGGGACGAAATCATGCAGCTGCTGCTGCTCCTGTGATCCGGCAGACAATCTTCCTTCCAACACTGCAGCCAGCCGTCGACGAGACGCCGCGTTGATGGACAGGGGAGACAATCAATACAACATTCCAAGCAATCTGAGAATCAATTACTCACGGCTGGCGGACTGGCGACCGGCAAGAGGGGCTCTGCCGCTCTCTGTACTTCCATCGCGCTTCCTTCCTTGCTTCCTTGCTTCCTTTCCCCGACGATGACTTTCACTTCGCAGTGCGTTGCACTTCTTCAGCACTTCATCACAGAGTCGACTAATCTGGGACTTTCACCGGCCGACGAAGCTGTGAACTTTCAGATCCGCGTGACCATTTTTCGAGATTTTCTCAGAATGTAGAACTAGCAGCAGTGTCTACAGAGGAAGCTCCATGGGGATAAACTCGTCGGTGTGGGCTTTTCCGGGCATGGTGGTCTCCTGCTGGAACGGGCCGGGGGCTTGGCCTTATCTACTTCCTGACACGCTGCTGCAGAACGAGACGCAGCCGCGGCCATAAATTCAGGCAGTAATTTCTCGAGCGACTCCCTCCTTCACTCACTCACTCACTCACACAAGTCTCGCAGTGAGCAATTCCACAAGCAACGCAACGCTACTCGTGCATGAGTCCGGGCGTCCATGCAGGAATCCGCGCTCGCTCGCTCGCTCTACTCTACATCTCCAGGACCTCAGCCTCCTCTTCCCCCGTCGACCCTGCAATCTGACGTTCCGCTTCCGGCAGCTCGGATCCATCATCAGCTCCGCAGTCAGCCTCGAGCCCGATGTTCCTCCCAGAAACTCTCTCCGCCTCGGACGGCTCCGCAAAGGGAGCCGTGAAGAGGACTGTGATGATGGACGGATGGAAGGAAGGCCGGCGCTACGTGCATATTCATTCTACTTCATTCGACGAGAACCGGCAGGCCCTGAGCATATCCAGTCAAAATCGTGCACTTTGTTCTCTCGCTTCTTTTTATTCTTCTTCATGAACTTGCAACTTTTGGAGGAGCATCGATCCACTCGAACTTATCCGCTCCTTTGCCAAATCGTACAGTACTGCAGTCCATGAATCGGAATGGTCCAGTGAATGGATAGCGTCTTAATGTAGGGACAGTAGTCTTAAAAGGAGGACAAGTGTACCAATCAATGTCTGCAGCTGCGCTCCTCTTTTCCTTTCTGCGCAGGCAGGTAGGAAAATCTTCTTCTGACTGTTTGCTAACCTTTCAATGTCCAGTCGTCCAGCCACTCCTGTGTGCAAAATTAGCCTTTGGTTATCGGATCGTGAGGATGCTGCACCAAAACTGATGGACATTTCTCAGCAAGTGGAATAGCTAGATCTGGACTGGCTTTCCGCCGGTGGTTTGATTCGTTGATCGACTTCTCGATTTCCCTTCGAAGTGCGTGACTGTGACTGTGACTGCTGGTGAAGCCAGAATTCAGAGTTCTGCCTAGTCAAGTACAGCAATGAAAGTCCACCGCGTTTGAGAAACTGAAATAAACCCACGAGAATCTACGTTCGGAGCGACGCCGTTATGCAAACGTCCCCTGCCTGATTGCTACCACGACCAGCTTACGTCCGGTGATCATCCAGAATCGAGGCAGTCACACTCAAAGTCCAGTCCGGACTTCAAGCTCCTAAGATCGGACTTAAAGCGCCCGTCCGATCACGTGAGCGGTGATCTGGGAAGAAAAGAGCCAATTGTGGAGATGATCTAAGAATTCACGTGGGCCTGATGTCACGCATCTTCTGTCTCTCCCCGCCTGTCCACAGTCATGGCGGCAGCTTTCTATCTCTCGCATCCACTTTTGTGAAGGGCTTTGTAGTTAGAGACGCCGCTTGCCCATTCAGCTGACCGCTTGTTCCTTCTTCTTCGTCGCAGCGACCCGTCGACATTAAACGACAGACCCCCTGACTTTGATTGTCCTCTAGAATCTCTGACTGGCCGAAAAGAAACAGAGTCAGAGGTGGATTTGTTCCCCTTGACTTCACTACAGCTGCAAAAAGCGTCGAGATCGTTTCGGGCTCCATGACAAGTGCGACAGATTTGGAGGATTCTCTAGTTTGTCTGCTTGTTGCTACTACTTTTGCCGTCCTGGCATTCACTCCTGTCTCCAACAATCACCACCTCGAAGTTTCTTGGTGTCCTTGCATCACTGTTCGGCCTCCGGAATTTCCGACTCATGATGCTGTGAATGTAGATAATTCAGCTTGCACTTCTGCTACCACTTCCCCTTGTGCTTCCGTGCTCTTGACGGAAAATTTGCTCCGTTATTGTGGACCTCGCCTGCCACATGTGCGCACTTCATGCATTTACGTCCACACCAGTAGAAGAGATCACGTTTCCTTAATGATGTAGAGAATTTGCACGACATGATACTGTTTCCAACCGGGGCTGAAAGTTTACTCCATGTATTATCAGATTTGCAAATCTACGTACCCGACATAATTTAGTTCAAACCAGATTGCATACCGTCATGAGATTAGAAGTGAAGTAGGTGTGATTAGCGTAACAGTAGAGCGTACTGAGTCAAAAAAATGTAGAAGATTAAAACAAAAATGTGTGTAGTTAACTTAATGAACACGTCATCACCATACAACACCTGTGATGTGGCAACCTGAGTATCTAATCAGTTTCTATTCTTAGCATTTTCCCAGGTTGCATTTGGATTAATTTTAAAGATTCGACCCCAGATGTACACTATGAAGTACAATATACGGTGGTGACGCGGGAGGAAGGCCTCTCACGATATCAAACAAACATCACATGCTTTGAGTGCTGCTCTACGTCTAGTTCAGTCCCTTGAGTCATGCCATCGGGTTTGGTGTACGCGTTCGCAGCACTTTCAGCCGATAGAAGGTAGGGAATTGTCGACCTTTATTGTATACTCTGCCGAAGGGAAAGAATGATGGTGTGCAACCAAAAGTCAACAGTCTCCTTGCCATCATATCCACCTTCCACATTGTAATTTGCCCGAGCTTGTTCAAGGCAAATTGAACTCACGTAGAAATCACCAAAGCACCTGAGAAGTTCGGTAATAATTGAGGAGACTAATTACATGGACAGCCATCATGATTAGATAATGTGGTCGGAACTTAGCAGGTATCACTACAACTTGAGCTGCTGCCACAAATTCTCTTATACGAGTCATGAGATCTTAATCAGAACTTTCGATGGCACTGACTTGTCCGATGCCAAAAGACCTCCAAATTTCCACGTTAGTGACTTGACTGATTGTGAGCTCAGAACCTGGGTCAAACTATAGTACACCAGGTGTACAATAAAAACTGTGACTTACATGGCATTCGAGCTACCACGGTGGAAGTCCAACTACACATCTTGGTCATTCAAGCGGAATTATATTCTAGTGAAAGTTATGAGGATTGAGACCTTTTATGCACGAGAGACCTTCTATCCATTGCTTCGGGACAACGTTGGACTCCTTCTTTGAGACCCCGACATGCATCAACCTGCCACCTGCGCATCAGCACGAAGATCGTCGAGCACTTTGGCACAAATCAGTGACACCCTGTACTTCGTTCCCATACTCACTTCCAGGACATGAGCACAATTTTTCAAAACTGCAAAGCTGTCACGGAGATCGACAACGCTTCTCCATCAATCCTTAAAAACAGGAAAGAACTCGTTCTAATGAGACTAGGCCAGAAGAGGAATCATGTGAAGCCCAGGTAGGCATTATGATTATCTCTCGTGAATAATTAAATCGGCCACGGCTTTCCAGAATCGATCTCAGAATCAAGATTCGAAAGGTCCCATCTATTATCAATATTGAGTGATATTACTAAGTCCAGCACCTGAATACGCGTCCGGTTTCATCTTCGTATCTCTTGATAAGGGGATCTTCCATACTTGTTTGTTATCGATTTAGTACCCTTGGGATGTATTACATGGTTCTTAAATTCAAAAGTGCCAGGACAGGAAACGGTCGAATGATGCTCAGATATGGTACAAAGCCACGATATACCTACAGAATCAACATGAATGTCTCATGACTTGAGCTACCAGCTCGATGAAACTAACCTCCGGCTATGGACGGAGGGTAGCTAAATAAAGCTATATATGCATATGAAAACTAAGCATGTGTTTCAGGGGTTATGTATTTGACTTTCCACACTTATTTCTTCACAAACAAAGATAATTTCAAATATAATTATGAGAAATGCACATGATGCGAAAGAGTCGAAAAGGTACATTAATTTATAGTTCATGTCTTTATTAAAAATGTAAAGTGTAAGTGTTATGTGTTTGTGTGTTAAGTGTTATAAAGTACAAGTAAAAGAAACCATATTTTTCTTTAATTCCTTCTTCAGCATTATATGCCATCCTAAAACAAATATAAATGTCTAACGAGGAGAAGATCCAATTACTAAATTAATTGTCATGACATTCCTCATGGTACTGTTCAGGACGTCAAGCTTTTAACCGACCTGAAAAATAGCCTTCTAAACGGAGGATACAACTTGTATCTGCTAGTATTCAGCCCGAACTTCAACAAGAAAATTGATTGACATCAACATCTAGCAAGTGGTAATGAAAACGTAGGAGTTGTTAAATTAATATGATCAAGAAGTAACGCTTTTACATAGATACTTGTTTAAGTGTTGTTTCCTGAATGCCATGAAAATTTCTTCTTTGTTAAATACCTAATGATTATGAAGCATGATTAATAGTATTAAGTTACACATATGAACCCAAGGATGATGGGTTTCCATACATCAAATACACCGAAATTCATGAGTTGTCTTTGTTGTCATATCCAAAATTGTAGTCACGATTAGTGAAGATCAGTTGTCTTATATTAGCAGTATGTAGTATGGGCAGTTTAGGATCTTTGGATACTTTAGCAGCATTCTGGTCGCTTTGCAAGCTTATCCTTAGTATGTCTGGATTTGAATCATCTCTCTTCATACTTCGAACTTTCTTCAAGATAATTCATGGTTTATTTCAATCCAATGACTTCATTCATATAGTAACAAAATCATGTGATCAGTTTCAAAAACTTACAACATACAAAGAATGCAATAAACATATAGACATTAAACTCCACAATGGATTCAGAGGACAAAAGTTTCAAAACCAATGATATCTACTAATCAATGTCCAACTTTAATTTATTATGAATGTAAAAATTATTTTCAATCGCTTTCAATCAAAAAATACGTAAATGTGACCTGAAAATTACTGTAATAATCACTATATGTGATACAAGATTCACTAAGTAAACACAGTATTGAGGAATTAAAGTTCATATTAACAGAGTAACGAATGCATACAACACTATGTAACATGAATTATACATTGATATATATGAAGTATTTTGAAAATCAATACGTTGATTTACTTGAATCGATTCATAATAGTTTCAAATCTTTAAAAATGTTAAAAGATGCACTATACGTTTTAGAGATGTATGGACGACTTTGTATTTTCAATTTTTTTACATGCTTGCATTTATGTATAAGCTTTCGATTATTTTGTATTATAACTGACAAAAAAATAAAATCCCAGCTAATTTTTTCTAAAATTTCCATTGTATTATCCCTTTGATATCAAACTTAAAATAAATTGGAACTTATTCTTAAAATTTTGATTCAAAAAAGCTTTAAAAGAGTGAGATGATTTTTCATTCAAAAAAATTAACTTTGCAAAGCCTAATCGGATCAAGTTGTATTCCCACATATGATAAAAATGCAAAACCAAGAATTATAATAAAGCATATTATTAGGTAAAACAACGTCAATTCAATCAATACTCAAGGCCACTAGACTTATGAGACATTGACATCAAACTGCTAAACAGCATATTCATTGTCAATTTGGTTTCATCAAAGTGATGAAAACTCAATTAATAAAGAAATTTCATGTATATTGATTTATTCTAATACATATCAACATTCTTTGTATCTAATTTTATGAAAAAATACCTAAAATAAAATGAGATCATGCTACAATAATGAATGAATGATTTTAAAATAAACATAACAAAAATCTATAAATATCTTCAACTTTTATACACAATGTAAAAAATCAAACTTAAAAGTCATGTTTTCTTCAAATTAGATTTAAATAATGATCAATAAGAATAATGTTAATAATATATTTTCTTCATTTGCTTAAATGATGACATGATGAATGCAATAGTTTATAACTAGAATCAAATTAAATGTTTTGATTCCATTGAAGAGTTATTTTTTATATTTTTGTATATGATGCAGTAATGATGTCTCATAAGACTTGATTTGCATAAGATTTTTAGAAATTAATTGCTTCTGATATCAAATTGCATTGTGGCAGCAATGAGGTTTTTTTTATAACTTGATAAACTAGGTGATGATTAAAAATTTAACAAATCAATAAAAAAGTCCAATTTTTCTAAATTTTACAATTGTTGATTATATATGCAGTTTGCAAAAAAATCTTAAACATAGGAAGTTTTCTTGTTTGTTTGTGTAGATATAAACAACTATTGCTAAAACCTTAACAAAGCTATATTAACAATCTTGTTAATGAAATGAAACATGTGAACTATTTTATTTAAATGTGATAAATATTGATTTAAGTTTATGTGAAAAAATTAGAAAATATTACTTTCACATTTATGTTGATGAAAATATGTTGGTTTGGAAAGAAGCGTGCATTCAACATGCTGTTTAGAACATATACCTGGGAAATAGTTCCAAAAGATACTCTATTGTAATAAAATTGGAAACAATTTTTGCGTGAAGATTAGGTTTCATCACCATTTGAGTTATAACCTTACAGTTGTAGTATATTTGAATCTCGTTTAGACTCAAAACTTTTTAAGATGTTTATTGAAATAAATCAGTCTTCCATAGATTTGGTTAAATAATTTTTTTTGATAATTCATCTTTGTATTTATAAACATATTTGATTTAATATGTTATTGTTTAAATATTCATAAATTAAATCCATGTACAAAACAAGTTGAATTTGATTTACAAAACGATATTGATGAAAACACATGTTTACTACTTTATCTGTATGATGATAGTTAGATTATCAATTTACAAATACTTTCCTTGAATCAAAAAAGTAAAACTTTTATATTTGAAATTAAAAATACTAAATAATAATTTGGAAAATCTAAAATAAAAACATAATGATGATGGATTAATTTTCAACATTTCAGTTAAATTAATCCACGTATTCAAAATATGCAATAATTTATGAATTATTTTTTTAAAAGTCAAAAATGACTCAAAAAGTAATCTTGAGTAGTATCCTAACTTAAGTCCTATTGATTTTTTTATAACAACCACATCAAGAATATGAATATTTTTTATATTGCAATTCATGTGTGTTAATGTGTGAGTTATTAGAAGTGTTATCATGAATTTTTATATATTCATAATACTAAAGAACATAAATAAAGAAAAAAATTTTTTTGTTAATTTTTATTTTTAAAATTTTTGCGAAATTTTTTTGTATAATTTTTTTTATCTTTATTGAAATAGAATAATAAAGTCTTCAAAATTTTGAAAGTGAAATGAAAAAGTGAAATCAATTATTACAAAAAAATATATACAAATTTATGTTAATTTCATTTATTCATAATTCAAAATGCAATTGACCAAGCATAATTTTGAAAATTTATATCATATGATATTTAGCATAGATTTAATATAAATATTTTATTTTTATTTGTGATTAATTATTTCAAATATTATACTTATGCGCAGAATTACATTTTGCACATAATAATAATTGTGATATATTTGTAAGATATGATATCAAGACAGTTTTTTATAATATTGATTCATTACAAGAAATTTATTTAATAATTTAATAATTTTAAAATTTTATTAATGTAAACAAAATTTATTTAAGTAAGATGGTTTAGACAGATTCAATTTTTGATGCAATATTATAACATTTAAAATAGTTTCAATAGTTCAAAGCAATGAAAATTTACAATCTTGTGTTTTAATAAATTCTCTTAACGTTAATATGGATTTTATACATTGAAAAAGTCAAATTAAAAATCCCTTATCCTTATAATTTTTTACGTCAAGTAAATAAAATATAAAGTGTATGCTGTCTTTTGAGAATAAAGATTACAAGACTAAAGATGGTGAAATTTCTGAAAAAGACTTTCATTTCTTACAAGGTAAAGTTTGAACTATTGCAATCAAAATTTCAAACAAATTAAAACAAAACCAAAAAATATAAAATTGTGTATCAGTCTCAAGTCAATTTAACCGTTCAAAATATTAGTTTCACATAAATATTTGTAACCAAACAACGTTACTCCATGCACATTAAGAAGCAAAATTACACATCTGGCGCATTGTAAGAACGCCTCGGATTCTGTAAATGGGGATTGAACAGTAGTATGGAAGAGAAACTGGTGCTCGGTAATGCTCCAAAGCTGTCGATAACGTCGACAAAGGTGAACGACTTGGAGCAGTTCGTGTAAAAGCTTCGTGAAAGACCTCCGCCGTTTCGACTTCCGAAGAGAGGAAGAATGCATCCTCAGGGCTCTCAATTCTTACTCCGGCTAGTCAAAACAACTCGGATGGATGCAGGGTCCGATATCCCGGCACAAAATTTCTGGTGATACACAAGGTGAGTATGGAAACTTCTCCGTTCGGGACTCCCACGAATAGTTTCGCTGAAACTCCAAGCCACACATGGAGTGAACGGAACGTAAAGAGCTCAGAAGACATGGAATTCAGGCTCCATCACTTGCATCAGGAAACAATGATAGCAAGTACGAGTTGGAGTTTTACAAAATCGCTCAAGGGTTCGGAATACAGGCTGCCTGGTGAGTGGTGCAGTGCACGATGTCTCTACAGAGCAAAAGCTTCAGGTTGAAAACAACGAAAACACCAAACCGAATAGAATTTAGACATTGTTGAACACAATGCTGAGATTTGCTATTCAAAAGAGAAGCATCGGCTTCGCTCTACATTTCATCACAACCATGTGCAGGGGCGGAGCCAGGATTTTTCGAGGTGGGGGGGAGGGAGCAGGTGGTGGCATGCTGTAGCTCCGCCACTGATCATGTGTCTAATGTCCCTGCGTTTTACGTTCTGTACGTTTTATGAAAGAGAGGTTGGGACCTAAGAGGGCTACTTAAACGACAGAGAGGCGAAGCCACACACACAGGCTTGGTTGCTCCGCGCCTCAAGGCTTGTGGGGCGGGCCTCAATCCGAACCCCATGGCCCAAGGGACGCGAGACTATAAGAAGAGGTGCTTTTCCAAGTTGGCGTCGGTCATGAAAAACCATCATTAGAGTATCTATCATGGAAGTGGTCGAAGCTGCATTGAAACTTGTATCTATATGTTATTGTTTCAAACGTCACTTAACTCATACAAATCTGCTGAAAATCAGATGTGTTTTGAAGAATGGCACAGTGTATGGAAAGTGCGCAGAATCTCCACAGAATGGATGGCGGAAAGGACACTCACCGGATCCCACGTGAGAGACTGGTGGGCGTAACTTCTACAATTTTGACGTGACTGTTATTTTCCAACCAGCATTGCAGTTTCAGTTTAACTACAGTACGCAGAGTTTCTGAGCAGGTGAAATTTCTGGTTCGCCACTGGAGGTTAGAATCCTTCATATTTGACCGGGTATAGGCCAGTCATCGGGTGCGGCCTCACAGCAATGTGATTTGGTTTATACTCTAAGCTCGATGTCCAGCAAGGTCTCGTGTTGAGTGGGGATGAAAACCTAGTCTGGACCTGGCGTCTCAGAAGAACAAGTTCTTGATCAGTAGGTGGAGAGAACTTCATCTGGAAGCTCCATGTGTTTCCTGTGTCCAGTTGCACCGTTTAACCTTTTGGCATGGTAATAGGTGGCTAGATATGTTTCTGAGTGAAGCTCATTTTACTATACACAAACTTATACAAGGTTGAAGCCAAGTCCATCAAGCTTTCTGTGCAGTCGAGTATTTTGCATGAATTTTCAATGTCTCGGTAAACGGCTGTGTATTGTAGAACACGCTTGCAATTTTTGCAAGTGGAGAATCATTAAGCACATTATGGATTACTATGCACGGGATCCATGTCGTGATAGATCTTGGTGACCGGTGGACCTTGAGGAGCAAAGTTGGCCTCAAGTAGGCTTCTGAGAAGGATAGTTCACCAGCATGTGATTGTCAATTTCATCAACATCTGGTGGATGTTGTGATAACATCAACAAGCAACATTTCCCACATCCAACGTCGTCTGGGAACTTTCCATGTGAAGAGGGTCGTATCCTTGATGTCAAAATGTCAGACCAGGCGTTGACGGTGGCACTCTCAACTAGTAAAGAATGAGATTTCCTTTTCCAGGGAGATCTCAGCCTCCGAAGTGAAACTCATCCGTCGAGACACCCCTGTAGAGAAGAGAGGAGGTTTTCTTGTTTCTCTGTTTCTTGTATTTGTTTCTTGTTTCTTGTTTCGCCGTACTGGAACATTGCGACAGCAACTGAGCTGATTGAGGTGGACTGTATTACTCTTCTGACTGTATACAAGGTACATTCTTCGGCTCGTGGTTCAGAAGGCGACTGAATCGAAGGGGATGGTTGAACCTTGGCGTAGGACCGGGATCCAGTGCCTGCCTCACGTGAAGTTACAGACCAACGCTCTTACCGATCTACTTTTGCTTACTGATGTGCACAGTCCACAGATTTGGTCCACAGACCTCCGTACTTCATCCGACCATGGTAGTGTATCTTGGTCCGAAGGGTGGGGCAATTTTGGCGACTGCAGTTAAACGAGATCAGCTGACGATCCAATCTCGAATCTAATGGGCATGAGCCCTGCGCGTTCATGCGAAATATTTTAAGTGGATTCAAGACGTCGGGCATCACAGCTCTCCACGGGATAAACATGATCACAGTTATATTTCTAGAAAGTTCTGAGTCTTCATGATGAGAAGAGCACATGTGTTGGACTGCAACGAAGGACCAGACTGGAGTGGCATGTATATTAATATAATACCCGTGAAAGAAGAGTTGCCGAAGCTCTTATAAGCTGTGCGCAGGCAAGCTGATGCCATATGAAAAACTCGCATCTTAATAAACTCATTCACAGACTTGTGATTGCACATCGAGGCATGTTGAACAGATAATAGGTAAACCCCGCAACCAGAGGAAGCTCGACCTCTGGGAGTGGTCATATTAATCTCTAATTCACCTCCCACAACCGCAAGCCTCGAGAAAAGGCACAAGTGTTAACGTAGGTCGAAGTCACGTATACTTTTAAGGGCTGACACCGAGGCATGAGAAACAGCTACTGACGATTTGTACACTATACACGGACGCAGTGCTGATCTATCTCCTCGCTAAAAAACCTGGCTGCACCTCTTCTCACATCAGCATGTGATGATCAGAGTTGCAGGACCATCGCAGACAAAGACGAGCTATTTATTCCTCGAGCACAAAAGGAACAAATCTCTGGCTTTCACTGTTTTGCGTACTGTGGCAACTTGTGATACGTCCCCGCGTAAGGGAGTCCGGCACCGGTAGCGTTAAGCTTGACAGACAGGATTTCATGGTCGTTGACAATGTACAGAGTGTCGAGCAGAGGGCCGCCGAACGCCAAAGTCACCGCCTTCTCCACGCGAATCAGACCGAGCATGACACCGGTCTCGTTGATCACTGCGGTTCACAACCCAGGGCAGCTGCAGTCAGATGGGATGGCACGAACCAGATTTCCAGAGCTGCATGATTCCACCGAGGACAACAGGACCCTCGCCAAATTTTCCCATGCAGTCGACGTCATGCAGCAGAGTGAGGGAGATGGTGCAGAAATGAAATTGAAGTTGGTGGGGGAAGGGGAGAAGGGGAGAAGAGCAATGCACCCTGGACGCCATCGGCGTTGGCGACGTACACGCGCCCTGCGGTGTCCACTTTGATGCCGTCGGGCATTCCGAGCGACGACCCGTCGAAGGCGCAGATGGAGGCGAACAAACGCCGATCGTGCACCTGCCTTCCGTTCTTCACATCGAACACGGTGATGCTGTGAGGCCGGTTCTTGTCCACCTCCGGTACCCTGCTCAGAATCCACGACACACAAGACCGATCGATCGGCTGATCATGCACCCCAGCCAGAGAAAACCGCTAGAGTTGCACCCGTACCCCGAGAATTGGACGAGGGCTTGCCAGAGAGAGGATCGCACCCGCTGTAGTAGCCAGTGTCGGTGACGTAGAGCCGGGATTCGTCTGGAGAGAAGGCGAGCCCGTTCGGCTTCTGGAATTTGTCGGCGACGACGTCCACCGTCCCATCCGGATCGATTCTGTACACCTGATTCTTGAGCATGGGGTTTTCTTCACCGAACCCTTGCTCCCTGATGGATGGATGGCCCAGCACAAGTCGAATGAGCTTCAGCTTCTCTGTCAGCAACTCGCTCTCGGACGATCGATGCAAGCACGATCTTCCAGTGAGCTGAAAGGAAAACGAATAGCACCGGCTCGGGAGTGAGGGACTTACATCGGATAGTCAGGATCGGTGAACCAGATGCTTCCGTCGCTCTTGACCACGATGTCATTCGGGCCGTTCAATCGGCGCCCGTACCAGTTGTCAGCGATGTTGCTCGAGACGCCGGTCTTCAGGTCGATCTTCTCGATGTAAGCCGGAGAGCCCTTACAGCCTTGCTGACAGATGAGCAGATTCCCCTGGCAGTCGAGTGTCATGCCATTGGCGTAGTCCGTGTTCTCGGAGATGAAGAAGATCTCGTGAGTCTTCAGGCATAGTCTCTTGATCTGCGCGCAAGAACGATGCACGGCCTGTCGGTCAGAAACTGCACGACGCCTGCGCGATCGAGAATTGCAAGCCTCCTCAGCTCCATTCTCGATCGAGAGATTTCACAAATGCCGTGCTGGAATAATCGTGATCGACACAAGACAACTCCGACGCAATGAAACGCAATTCATGGCTGTATTGAGAAACCAAATTGACGGTCTCTTTCCATGGCATTTCGACTTTGAAAGCTATTTCCAAATGTAGCTTCGCGCTAGCGAAAGCCATCCAGAGTGAGCAGATGGCAATTCGAGCCCGGAATGGAAGCTACTCCCATTCACCTTCTTCGACAGCGCATTTCATTTCATCAACAGATTGATAAAGGCGATGGATGCAGTAGTAACTCAGGGTTTCACCTGGTTCGGGGCGTGTTCCAGAACCCCGAGGGTGGTGAACAGAAGGGAATCGGTGTCGGGCATGTAGAGGAGGCCCTCGTGAGCGTTCGTTTCGGCGACCTTCTCGATGCGCGGGGACGGGCCCAAAAGGTCGAGAAAATCCTCATGGCGCACCTGCAGCAGCAAGAGGAGGAGGAGGAGGAGGCCAGAACCGTGATCAAAACCCGACACACAAGTCAATCCGATGGACGTGCACGGCTCGAGGAATGACGGCTACAAAACTCATCGTCGGCTTCAAGAGGAGGGAGAAAAAGTGCGTACCACAAAATGGTAGCTTTCGTTTTCCGCTCCGGTTGGTATACCGTCACGGATTCTGCCCTGCCGCCATCGCGTCACTCCCTCGGGCAGCTCGGACTCGCCCGTATGCAGACTCGTCACTGATGTCAACAAAGTCAGCACTTTTGTCCAAGGCCCACGCCGGACTTTGAGAAACGTAGACAACACAGTGATGTATCATAGGTTCTTGGCACATCTCGTCCACGTGAAATCCGCGAGGTAAACGAAGCACACGGTTCAACAGAACCCAGAGTTTCACTCACCTTCCTTCGATTTCATCTCGATCGAGGTCGCCCTTCCAGCCCCGTCCGTAGGCGAAAAAGATTGGGAACTCCGACCGCGGTCGATGTGATTACTCACACTTCGGGAAGAAGAGCTGTATCGAGAGAGCTCCCGGAAGAATCCAAGAGCGCAGAAGAGATTGGTCAGGAGATGGGCACCGTGCTTGCAGTTTGAGGAGACAGACCTTCGAAATTTATACCGGCGCTATGAAAGTCGTCAGCCAACTCGCTCGTCGCACTCGCACGAGCGGCAGGCACTTCCCCAACCAAATCTCTGTCAGAAGTCGCCAGCAAGCGGCAGTCCTGCGCAGAATCGCCTCGTGAATAATGTTTGCAGAAAATAATGGCAGGACCCGGAACGGGAGCCCGATGGAATCGAGCCGCCAGCAGAAGCACTCAGGCACGAGTGCGATGGTACGATCGTACGATGGCCAAGCCGCCTCAAGAGAAGAGTGGGCTCGTTCGCTCAGTCCAATGTCCGGGAAGGAACAGAGCATGGAATTGAGAGAGAAACTCATGGCATTGCGGCTGTCATTCGCAAAGACCGCTTTTCCGACTCGGTCCAGGATGGACTCACTAACATGGTTCTTGCGCCGTGAGCTCACTGGAGCTCCAGGCAGCCGACACGTGACGGCCAACCTGCTCAGGTCACGGTCCAAAATCTCCAGCGTCAGAGCGTTCGCACCGCCTCGTTCCGCCCTCAGGCTGCCATGTCCAACTCTGGAGGCTGTGCAGGCTCCGCGCAGACCGAGCTGGATCGTTCGGACCTCTCTCGGACTTCAGTCCTGGTGACGCTTTTCACAAGTCGGCTCGTCCTCGAACAGTCCATTGGCGAATAAGAAATCTCTCGACTGTAAACATTTTGACTTATCATATTCGCTACAGCTTTAACTTTAAGCTTGACGAGCTTCAGAAAAAGGGCAAGCATCTCTAAGAGCGAAAATTATACGATGTCCAAAAGGGCCCATGCGAGCGCTTTTACTCCAACACATTCGGAGATGTATCGACCCGTTGTCTGAAAACTCTGCCACCTGTATCAGCCGCTTTCAGCTGCTCTCACTCACTGGGTGGACTCTAGCATTGGAACCACCTCTTCTGAGGCAGACCGAGCAATGCTATGACTCATAGCATTGTTCGGTTGATACTCATAGCCTTCGAGCATCTGCAGACGGTTTCTGAGACTAACAAGGCAAGCTGAATTTGGATAATCTCCAATTTTACGCAATCTGTCCATTCAGGCCTCGACGTCGTCGAATGCCACGTGTATCCTCATCGGTTGTACTCCAGCGCAGTGTAATTTATCTTCGAGGACTGACCCGTGGGTCTGACCACTTGCAACACTTGATTTCCTCATTCTACTCGCAGGAAAACTTTGCTTCAATTTACAAACTGGCCAACGCTTTGTCTCACAAAGTTTGTTCGTAAAGCGCATTGACGTCTCGGAATTCGTCCAGTCCATTTATTTTCAGGCACTGTGTGCCGCTTAAAGGGTTTCATTATCCATAATCTGTAATTCAGCGAAAGAGGTTTTGAAGTGAACAGATAGAAAAGGAGTAACCAGATTCGAAAGCAAGCTCCCTTCGTGTGACCAGAAAACTCGTCTGTTCATCATTTGTAAACAAGGTAATGTAGAGTATAAACATATTAAAGGGCATTGAGATGCAGAGAACCAAATGTTCATCATTTTAGTCATGGGGATACATCGGGCACTGTAATGGGGATGAGAAACGAGTCAGCTTATTTTCGTTCTCTTGTTTTCCCAAGTAAAATCCCACAAGTACCTTCAAAATGATAGAGATCTTTTATGTAGAGCTATTGTTACAGATCTTTTATCTATATACAAAATGATACAGATCTTTTATCTACAGCTATTGTCTTATTTTGGCCAAGAGTCATATCTCTGGGGTTCAGAGTGAGATAGTTAGCGATGATGATTTAATTTCAATATCACGCATTGTTATTTATTTAACGACGTGCTTGGAATTTTGTATAGAGAAAGATCTGGAATAAAAGAAAAAACTTGAGTCATCAGCGTAACTTACTTTTTCAACTTCATTCGATTCATTCAATAAAGCGAATAACTTTTTGGTTATTCGCTTTATTGCATTCATGAGGTTCATCTTCTGTCGCTAAACTATTCTGTACATTACTCCGCAATTGCTAGAAAAAACTTTAAAGTATAGTCTACGAACAAATTATTTTCTCTTTTGCGAAAATTTATAATTTTTTACATAAATATTCAAGCTAACGGAGGAGGGCCGTAGGCTAAATAAAATCTATATTTTATGACAAAATAATAATATTTAAGTTATACGGCGAATGACGGGTTTCGATATTCAACCAACATTGTGTGCCAAAACTTTGCATATATTCTCTTCCAAATTTAGCTTGAAAATCTAAGGATCAAATTTATCAGCTACCAGCATTTGTGCCACTTATCCAAAGACGTCATTCTAAGTAAGTAAGTAAGATTGTTTCAAATATCATCTAATGAAGCAGAAATTCGTGAACTTATATAATTCTAGAATTCTCCAAAAGGTCATTATTGTTAAAAAAAAGTTAGTCTGATTGGGAAGCAATAAAGCATATAAAAAAACATAGAATTGCTAAAATTTATCTACTTATGCTAATTATGGAACACTACATAATCACATAATGTTTCTGAAAACTCATAAAAAAAAGTACTTGGTCAATGCATTGGATTCCTTATAGTCTAGACGAATTCAATCTTTTCATCAAATATGACAACTATGATAAAAGTATATATAATCTCAATGTTTCATCTTGTGCCAAGATCATATGGTATGCTATAATATTTACAACGTCATTTTTTGTTCTCATTTTTGTAAATGTTTCGAATTAAATAACTCAGTTTGATGCTTCCATAAAAATTATATTCTTTTCACAATTTATTGAATAGTGCATTTTTGCAAAATAGATTTTCAATTTGTAACATCCATTAACGAGATATATGAATACCTTGTTATTAAAAAAGGATTAAGATAAAACTCAAATTAATCGTAAGAAAATCTGAATATTTTCAATAAATATCATCATACTTAAAAACCAATTCATATTACAAATTTCATACTCATTTTATGATTCCAACACAATTTTTCATGATTTTAGCTTGAATAGCATTATTTCTAATGCAAGAAATCCAATATATTAAGAAAAATATTTCTTGTCATACAAAATTGATGATTTTTTTTTTCAAATCTCATCAATGAAATATTGAACAAAAAATATTGCAAATTGTGCAATCAAATCAAACCATCTCCATAAGTGTCATGTTCAAATTTTTTAGTAAATTTTTTAATTTTATTTAATTAATCAAAAAATTAACTCATATGAAATTTCATAGCACATATTATATAGAATTTAACCCAAATAATAATAATACAAAAAAGTCGACATTTGCATCTATCAGATTTGCACTAATCAAAATTCAGAATTCAAAACATTTTTTGAAAAATAATAAAAAGAACAACATTCAAAGATGTCACTTTTCATACAGAGATATGAAAAAACACACTATACTAAAAATGCCGATTTTATCATAAACTTATAGAACATTGCAATTCATAATCTTAGGTTTTCTTCAATTCATATACAAATGTCAACAATTTACAAGTCAATATCTATTTTAAAATACTAAAATCATCAAAAAAAATTACAATTTTTATACAAATTTTGTTGCATAATATATAATTCTATATATATAATACATATTTTTCATTTTCATTATCCACTCAGTTTTTTGTGTATCAATTGAATAATAAACTTATCTAACAAATAGAAGAATCCACTTTTAAATAATGCATGAAATCTATATCTCCCAAACACACATATCGATTGTTTTCTAATAAAATATGTATATAAATTCAGTAAAAGTTATATGTATTTTAATTAACTAAAATTTACTATAAATAAAAAATATTATTTTACCTAATTCACAATTCTTCTCACACGAATCATATAAAAATCATTTGATTTATTAACAGTATATCAAGACCGAATTGTATATCTTCTATAGAGTTTACCATCGACATCTTAAAAAATTGATGTGGTATTCTATACTTAAATAAATTTTATCTTTTGAGTAATGGGTACATTATATCTCCTGATAAGTTTTCATCTGTTCAGACAAATGAACTACCCGTGCTAAAGGAGTATTCTTACCGGTATTCTTCAACTTGTAACTTTGTAACTGGACATTGAGAAATCCACCATAGCCGGGCATATGTAACCGATATGCCAGTAATTCACAGCCCTCTGATCATGTGCTTCTCTGTGCCTTAAATTTCTCGGAACATTTATAATCCAGCTTGAACTTGATCTGTTTGCGAGCAACTTTCCCATCCCACTCAGTGTAAATTGCAGGTTTGAGTTGTATCGCGTATGCGGGAAGCGTGCTGGTCCTCGATTACGTGAAAGTCTACGTGCAAGTCCTCGCTGCCAAGGACTTCAAGGAAGTGTGATATGTTGACTCGACCTGAATTATTGGCAGACTGATATAAATCGATTTGATAATGCAGCCCTCATTATGTAGACACTTCAGGAGCGACATTTGACACTTAAGTGTCAGAAAGACTGATCTCGACGAATTCACATCTTGACAGTGGTGTGAACTTCTCCGTCTCTCGCAGTAATAACATGTTGAGATTGTTCCTGCGTGAAGGTTCCGAACTTGCCTGCCTCGGTTTAAGTGTGGGTGACAAGCACTACAATTCCTTGGAAGAGCTCTATCGGCAGAATGCTCCAATCGATGGCCACGGAAGACTTGTTCAGCGACGCTTCCATTGCAAGCCTGCGGAGTAGTGAAGTACTTTTCACCAGAATGTCCATAAAAATCCAGAGACAAGTAGATCACTTCAGAAGCCCCACGTACTACCTAACTAACGTAGACATCACCGTTCAACTTCACGATGCTCGCGGAAAGTAGTAAGAAGAAAACATTGCAGTCAGAAGAGGAACGAGGCAGAGCTCCACACTGACGAAGCATAGTGAGTCCAGTTATCTACTCCGGAGTGCACGAAAGCTATCGCACTACCGACGCTATATCCGCTGTTCACGTCACCTGTACTTCAAATGTCAAAGATTCGAGATCGGCGATAGCGAGCCGTGATTCACTTTTGACATCTGGTTGTTGATTGGACAGGCTAACGATGCGCTGGAGCGTGGGTGACAAGAGTCAGCTGACCCCGTCGTTTGCTAGAAAACTTATTCAACCTGCAGAAGCTTCTTCCGAGATCGTGTGATTCACAAGATTAGTAGCCTTGCACATCATCTCTGATCATGTTTTTCCTTTTAAACAAGAGGCGTGTTTTATCATTTGATAGGCAACAGCAAACTTTAAGTGTGGTGTGGGTCTGTAGGATCTGTCCATAAAGAGCATACTATGAATGGAGGACGATGGGTGATTGCCTAGAAGTTTTATGGCCTTTTTGGTTCCAAACTTTCGCTCATCTTGCTTCAAAACATCAGATGATCTCGTGTCCTTTTCTATATATCTCCCTATTCCCTTCACCAGCTGCAAGCTGCCTCTGGTACTAGCTTGTACTCGTCTCTCGCTGTTTCCCGCCAACCAGTACAATGCCCTGACTCACTTTTCAGTTCTTGCGCATCTTCAGATCAATGCAGCCCAGTTGAGTTCCCAGTACATTCAAGCATGATGACCTAGGTCTCCCTTAGGAAAATGAACACTCGTGCCCGAGTTATAAAACTACAGGTGACATCACGTACCTTCCTTTTTCCTCCACCGAACTACAAGTGGCACTCACTCGCTTGGACTCGTCTTCATGTGTTCCCGCGATGCATACTCTGTCCTGATTCACCTTTCGCTTCTCAAACATATTCGAATGAACAAAGCTAAGTAAAGCGCTCGTTACAACAAGCATGATAATTCCAGACACCCAAAAATGACCGAGCTCACAACCACCGTGTATCTCGGCCTGACCACGGTCTGTTAGCAGGAACCAGAATTTGAAGATGAAAATCTAGATGCGAAAATGTGTGAGGGTAAACCATGCAAAGAGAGAGACAAGTAGGAAGCATATCACTGAGTGACGGGTCTCGTGAGAGACAGAGTGATACATTAAGAGGGGATCAAAACTTCTAGGTATGGTTGCTATTCATATGGATTTTGTCTAAGTCCCCTAGCCAGTTGATAGGTAATGGGGGGAAAAGAATGGTAGCTACAGCGGGTGATTGCTCCACGAAGACACTAATCCATCTTTGTTCGACTAAAATATCATCGAGGCAGGGTACACTTGCTCCGTCAGATTTTGGGCTGCACTTTCTGTTGGCATTCCTCTAATGGCACCGATAGTCCACTGGGCTATGATACCTGCACAAACGGCAAACCGAAGGGCTTTTTGCAACTTGACTTCGTCCGTGAAGAGTTCCGGCTGTGTGCTAAGCTTCCTAATGATGGCTGCACAACACGACAACACCACCTTCCGTTAATTACATAGCAACTCGGTTTGCCATAACTTCTCAAGCAAGACATACAAAATAGTCAGGATCACGTTAAGTGTATTAGATTTGAGTGTTTATATTCGCCGGTGAAATGATGGGATACAGTAAAACTTTTCTCTCTGGAATGCAGCTTACCACAGCCTGTGACAACTTCGTGTTTGCTAATCAATCCTAACAGACTCAAGGACTACCGAGCTTCTCATAATTGGTACTTATCAATTAAACTTAGGGTAAAGTTCGCACCTGCGGTAACAGCGTCGCCGGATCCAGTTCTATCACACGAAAATGGGGCCACAAGCACATCCTCTGTTCCCGCCACTTCGCCGTGGAAGTGAGGAGTGTAGTAGTGTATCCTGTGGGTGCCGTCTGTGACAATTAACATTTTTAGCTTGTTATGCCACAAAGGAGCCAGCTCTTCGGGATCGTAGTGATAGTGATACCGCCTGTTCTTCGTCTCTGCGACTGAGTTCGAAGCGTAAGTGGGCCCTCTCTGCCTCCTCAACTCATACTCCTCTTCACCTAAGATAAATTCTATTTCGTGCTTGGTCACCTCGACAATGGTGGCCTCCTTCCATGGGCCTTTGATCGACTCTCTTGTAAGGTCTACAGAATCCCAGAACGGTAGAGGTAAATTGACGTCAAAATAGATCTCCGCTCCATTCCTCTGTGCTAGTCTAATTGCAGAGAGAAGGCTGGAGCGAAGTGGCTCGGCCGTGAGGCTGATCGATGTGAATTGGAAGAATTTGGCCTGTTAAGAAACGGAAGTGCGTTAATCCTCCGAGAACCATGAGAACTAAAAATTGAGGACTTACGTCGACCTCGGAAGGATAGACTCGTGACAATGTGAGAGTCCATAGAATTCAGTGGAGACTGCTCCGAATGATGTTTACCTCTTTGAGAATGTCCTTGTTGATATCATTCTTGGTGAAGGAATCCTCTGCGCTTGGCTTCACGCAAGTCATCCGCACTTTTCCTGACTCAGTGGTCAGCTGCAATCTCGAAACTCCAGTGGAGGCGTTCTTATCAAACTTCACCCCTCGTGTCTGGACGCCATCCGTGTTGAGCTTCAACACGATATCATGGCCATGTTCGTCGTCACCCACCTTCCCCATGAATGCGACCCGCGCACCTAATCTTGCCAGAGCGACCGCTACATTCGAGGGAACGCTCCCAGGCAATCTGGCAAATTCCGGAGGACTCCACTGCAGGCCCTTCCAGGTGGAATAGATTTCAGGGTCCATTTTCCGTTCACTCACTCTCACCGAAGGCAGAAACTCGTGCAGAGCTTCTCCGAAGCAGCAGACGAGAGGCGGCCAGTCGTAGTCTTCCTCGCCGTCCTCGACGTCTGACGCCCCGTCGGTCTCTTCGCCATCAGAGAGACCGGATGATCGTTCCTTCTTCTCTGGTGCCGGGGAAGCGGCTTTGTTTTTAACTGCGTCAAATTTCTGAGAGGAATCAAGACGACGCAGTCGGGAATCGGAGCGACGAGTCCAAAGCAGCACAAAAGCCTCGCTCGAATTTCCAACAAGGGCAAGGGATGGAGAGAAGAGACTGATTTGCAGAAATTGAAAACTCTCGCGCCGATTCGGAGGACTTACCGATACCAGCTCCGGACGCAGCTCTGGCTCCAGCGTTCGGCCTGAAGTGGTTTCGGGAGGCCGAAGCAATAATGGAAGAGCCAGCAGCTCGCTGCTTTTCGCCGCACATTGAGACTCCGGAGACGCCATTGCCGTGCCAGCCTGCGGCTAAAACCCTTCTAAAGCCCTGACCTTTGGCCTCCAGGATCGCCACCCCCGGGCTCCCCAGGGCCAGTGCCATCCTCTCTCGCTTCGTCCACTCGGCGCCACTTCGATTTCCCTCGCGCCCGTCCCAATTCGATTGCGCCCGACCCCGACCCCGACCCCGACCTCAACGGGCGCGACGCGCGTTGCTTGACGATGGTTCCCTCGGGACGTTGGCGCGAGCGTGGGCGTTCTATCTGCTTCTCGTCCCCGTTGCGAGCGTTGTGAACTCTATCCGCTTCTGTTCCCCGTTGCGTGTGTGTGTCCCCCGTCTGGCGATTCGATTCACGAGTTTTCTTCCTTGTCGCAACACGACAAAGCTTCACTTCCGGGATCTGTGGATTTCTGCGTTCCAACACTATCGTTCACAGGTCAGGTAGAAATATATTCATACTAACATTTCTACATCCAGCATTCTATTCGATCTGATGATATAAGGGATAGTCTGCATAACAGGGCTGAAGGCGGTTTGTACTGTATTGCATTTTATAGGAAGGTGATACTCCGGTCGTTCATTAGATGGAATGTACATACACTTATATGATAATATATCATGTATCTGCCAACGGGCAAAACATAAAATTGAAGATATTATAATACATTTGTTATAAATCATATTTATAATTATTATATTAATTAAAAATTAAAATATATATATTCAGTAAGCATACACATATAACCTTCTTCTAGTTTTTTGAATGTGTATAATTGAGAAGTTATGAAATACTCTAACTTGATACATGGATGATTTTTTCAATCAATTGTTAATAATCTATATCCCTGATTAAAATTATGGAGGCATATGCACAATATAATCGCATGATGACGAAGGTGAAGATTTGAACCGTCCTACAGGATAAATAAATCAATAAATAATTTTTAGTTTTGGTAAGAAAATGATGATAATGATTTTAGTCTATATATATCCAACACACACCCACTCCGTGAAATTTATGATATACACCCAAGAAATATCACGGAATGGATATATGTTGGGTGTATATACACTAAAATCAATATCACCTAAAAAATTATTCCTGTATTGATTGTTAGTTATAAAACAAATGACCTTATTCTAACTATAAATTACAACATTTTTACAAACAAAACCTTATTTATGATTTCTAAGCTATCTGACTATCTTTGTACACAATACTTTCTAGACATAATTCGAGTGAACACTGAAAGCACCATCTTTGCCTCAATGTTGTGTTAAAGCACCATTTGTGCTGTGCTGCACCATTCACCTTCATTTTCAACGATTCTTTGTTGTTGTTGTGGTTTCTTTTCGGTCAAATTCCCCTCGATAGCGCAGCAACAAAAACATTCCGAGCTGCTTGACACTTTGGTCAGCCAGGGTCGATCACTGCCACACCAGCAACCTGGTTTGGTTGATTAAAAATTGATATAGATGACTTCGGTTACTTATTTACTCCGATTAATTCTCCACTGGGATCCCAACGAGGGAACCGTTAGAAATGAATCTAGTAGGTGCTGTAAAAATGTGTGTCTCTATTTATTGGGTAATTTTTTTAACATCAATATTCCATCCAGTCTGGGTACATATATTAAACTCTCATATAACATAACCTACGAAGAGTATCATCGTGAATTATATAAAGGAGAGTAAGTTTTAACTTGCTCCAATTTAAATAGATCCACAATATAGTAATTCAAACACTAAAATCTGGATTCCAAAAATAGAGCCTACCACATTAAATACGATTCTCAGAGTATGTCTGGGAAAAGAATTGTGCACATTCAGCTCACGGCTGTAGAGGCCAAAGGCGGTGCTCGACATGTGCCGATTTGCTTCTCTAGGACAAGTTTCTTCTTCTGTTCGATCCTGTTAACTAAGATCGCTCGTCTAACTTGGTCAGAAAGTGTACTGTAACAGAGTCGTGGTCATGGTCGCCGGGAGTTCACACCGCGGAAATGAACAATAAGTAGGTCGATGGAACTCATTTGCCAAGTCAATCAGGTGAGCTGAGCTTTAAAGTTGGATGTTCTGAAAATCTGTTTTTTCTGCTTCGGGTCTCCAAAACTCCTCGGCCTACGAGGAGGAGTTAGACGAGCTATCTTTGAAGACTGGCCAGGGGCATGGAGCAATTTGAGTGAAGATGAAGTGACAGACAGCGAGAAGGCAGATTATCCAATAATTCCCGTGTTCCCATCGTTTGCCAAGAACTACTACTGCCCTTTCTTTGGTGGATGAATGCTCAAGCAAGCAGTCAAGCAAGTTAACTACTGCAGATCTGAGCTTGTATGCAGATCGGCACAAGCACCTGAGAGTAATCACTCCTGTTTCCTAGTAGTAAGTATATTCGCAGTACAACTGCTTCAATCATTCAGTCTATCCAGGAATGAGACATTATCTACAATACCCGGGCCCAATCTGCCTACACACTACGAGATCCATTCTCGAATCGGGCATACTCCGTGCAGGTTTTACGCCTCCACTTTACTGATCATCCTCTGGAACTGTACTGGAGCTAGCGAGTCCTGCCTCCATGGCTGAACGAGATATCATTTTATGGAACTGCATGTCTGTTAGAGGTTACAATGCAGGATTTATGCAGACCTCCTCAAACTCAAGATCATACCCGTGTAGATCAGAGGCTGGTCTGGATAAGTCTGTACTTAAGATATCTTATTCGAGGATTTCATCTCATTAAACTATTGCGAGAGCGATCTGACATAAACATGCGATCCATTTTGTTGGAGCAGTTTGTGCAGAGTGGAGAAGCACTTTAAATTAAATCTCCACCTGTCTGATAAGAGTTAATGAAAGTGTTAAATGAACTTCCCACCTGCAGTGCATGTAAACTGGATAGTCATGAATTCAGATGCCTGAAATGTATAATGTTTTCTCGAACAAACGGATGTTTTATCTCGGACAAGCAAATCTCTTTTACAGCCTTCACGATGCTCTTGCGAGAGCTTTAACTTGGAGACGGACAAATTCAAGAGTCAAATAAATCGATCTTCATGGGTGAGGCTACTCGATTTCAGTCTCGAGAAGAAGACTTAAAAACATACAGGTGTGACGCAGATGATGCTTGGGCGTCATCAGACTTTCAGCAAACGATTTCCAGATGATAACGAGAGATCAGTGAAGTCTCAAGAACTGGACCTTACCTTTAAATTTTAGCTCTCCTCGCATGCAAAGTTCAAATCGCATGGTCGTCTTATTACCACTCGTGCATCCAACGCCAGGATCCGACCTAGGTCGAAGAAAATCATCAAGTTCCTTAGAGAGATGAAAAATGGATATGACCACGAAGAGTCCAAAGTTGTTCGTTTGAATCTATTTCAACATCGCGTCAACATTATCAGTGACCTGCAAATCAATGAGCTGGGATGTCTAATCGCGAGAGAGCCATTCTCCTGAGCATAGAGGCGGAAGCATCAGACTCTGACAGCTATCCGAATGACTCTTCTGAGCAAAAATCTGAGCACAGAGGAGCTAACCTTTGCGTAAAAATTGATATCATGGATCAATTACAGGATCATGAGCTCTTAGCCACCTTCATCACTAACCGTGTCAAAAATAGTGAAGACAACCGGGAGAAAAGATACACAATGATCCATCTAAGGAAGCAGCAATGTTTCCTCCGGGTTGCCCCTCACCATTCCCGACACCAGCAATGCTTTGATCTCGGCCACGAGTGGACATTCAACTTGCGATACAACTCCGAGTCACGAGGAAAACTTCCTCCTCCAGTGGATGATTCATAACTCGGAGTGGGAGGTAAACACCCTAACCGAGAGCCTTCTCGGGTCGAAGTCATACCGTGCAAGTGTCGAACATCTAAGTGTGTTGGAGTTCGACGTTTGAAATGGTACAGTTTTCCATCTAGAACGGAAGCTGCAGATAGCTGCGTGAGCGAGCCAGCATAATCGACACGAATGGGGTAAGACTGAGAATGAGCTAAAATCTGCTCGCCACGGTGAATTTATATCCACTGGCCATCAGAAGGCACTCGAGAATAAATATGATAATATACGGCCTATTGAGACAAATATCAACTAAACCAATGATCTGACAAGTGCTTCTGTAAGCATCACTTTCCATGTGTTGGTCTTATAACACTAAACAATTTATGTAAGGGGTGGAGGACTTTCAGTGGAAACGTACAAAGTTAACGTTCTAAACCTGGAAGTATCTGAGGGTGGCTTCAACATCTTGAACAACCAATATTCAGACGTCCACTTTCCCAACAGTTAGATCAACTCCAAAGTGATGATACCCTGTAGGCCTCTGAACCTAGTCATCACATGGAGCTTACACATTAAACAAGAGGAGGGAAGCCCCTCGCTGCAGCAACTGGAACTGCAAACTGAACTAGTGGTGGAGCTTTTGGTTCACACTCTCCTTCGGTCAGGGGTCATCCATGGCCAGCTGCTGCAGGGCAGTCTACTGTCACCTCAAGTTAAGGTTTTACCTTCCCCTCGGAAGATACTGGAGTTTGAGTTGAGCAGTCATGAGCATACTTGTCATGGCATTCAGTTGTCCCTTCGTATTGGCACCATTCACCTGAAGGTAGGTGCCACAGTTATTGCAGTGTGCGCTGAACTTCTTCCGTGTTGATCTGTCATATGCTTGGGAATTCCCAGCATACGTCACTAATGCTACTCCCCATTATTAAACTGACCAAATAAGCTCATCATTTTCTGAGTGTCATATGACCAGCAGTGCTGTAATGCTGGGGACATGTGTGCCGCTTCGTGTTCTACTTTAGCTAAAATTTACTTCTGTAATTCATCCTCCCTCACAGTACTTTTCTCGCATATCGCATTGCATTGCGTTACTCTCATTTTGCCCGCACTACTTTTCAAACGGCAGTGCAGAACTCACCTGGAACACCCTCAGAGGTGAACATCACCATGCAGCACCACGTTCAGGTTAACTGTCGTTGCTCAACAGGCAAAAGATGCCCAGCTGCAATTGGTGGGTTACACCATCCACTTCTACCTGGGCATGCCATCGGAGGCCTTCTGGTCGAGTTCTTTAGGTCTGGTTCGTTTAATAACTTTCTATTATCAGATATTATGCTCGGGACTGGACTGGAGTGGACTGATTGATTTCGGCCGATGATTGATGGCCTTGTCCAGTAGTACTGTGAAAGGGAACAAGATGAAGAGTCTATGCAAGTAAACGGGTCGGAATTTTCAGAGAGTGGCGATCAGAAGACGGTGGACTGCCCTCTTTGCTCTCTTCCTCTGAGACGACCAAGTTCCCACGGATGTAGTCAGTCAGTGACACTTTCAATGACCTTCTGTGTCGAAGTACTGTGAGCACATGTTGTTGATTTCGGAGAAGCATGTTACGCAAGCACAATCTTTGGCAATCGGTGGTGGGGTCAAAATCAGCTCCTCTGTCCCATCATTTTTTCAAATGTGGTACTGGAATGCCGAGTGCACTTCGGTGGTTTACAGCGAGCTACCAATGTTCAGGACCTTGGTGGCGAGTGATGCTGTTTCTCTACCTTCGCTAGTAGGCCGGTGCGGATTTACTCTACGGAACTATCCCCTGTATCTGACAAGATGCTCGATGGCATATTCCTCGAATTAGTCCTTGTTGTTGAAATGAGTCAGTCCTGCGTGGATGATACCGAAAATCTCAAGTTGGACTGACCAGGATACTTCTTCTGTTTAGCTTTCATGGCTTCATTCATGACCTTTTCTTGTTTTCGTGCAGAGGTCATTACCTCCTCCAGCGTGGATTGTAGGCAACAATATAATACAATAGTAAAGGAAAGAGGAGAACTCAGCTCGAAGTCGTGCCGTCAACATTCAGTGGACTCATTGATTCCACAACATCTCAGTGCAAGACTTGACCTCTACCAAATTTGCAGTGCCATCTGACAACAAGTATAACAATGAGAGCACACTGAATCGTTAGATGTAAAAGCCAAGTGTGGTGGGTGGACAACGGGCATCGAGTGACACTGGCACCAAAATAAAATACTCATTGAAACTGTTGTTATTTCTACAACTTCTAATAAATTGGACGTTGTGTACTTATCAACTAGAGCACGAGATGCCCTACCAGAAAAACAAAAGTTCAACAGAAGTATGATCATGTACCTTGAGGAATGTATGTGTGTACTCTCACTGAATCTAATGCAGATCTGGAGTGAAACTTTTGAGAACATAGTGATTGGACGAGAGTTGGTCTCAGGAGATGGCATTTCAGGTGAGCCAGTTGAAGTCTGGGAATCTATTTCTCATTTTTCAAATTGCTACTATTTTAGTTAGGTACCAAGACAAGACATCACGAAGGGAACAGTGGCGCCCTGTATTCGAGCAGAGTAAGCAGCCCAAGCTCACCAATAGCGTGCTACCTGCCTGCCCATTAATATGTCTTGGAATTCGAGTAATTATTCGAGATGAAGGATCATCTCGAAAAGTGCATTCTTCGCACTTTAGAGTTTTTAGGCGACCAAAAAAAGAAAAAGGGTACAAGGCAGGACAGTCAAATGAGAAACACAAAATTTCCTGCAAACTCTGCAGTTTGTCTTTTCTGCAGGGTACGTTGCTTTCATATTGTTGATTAGTACTATAAATCATATTTCTAGCCATGAGATTTAACGATCTTGTGCATGAATTTACTTCTACATTATGTTCCTATCGTTTTCCTTACAAACTCATCTCTTTTGCCCCATCAGCACTTAGTTGGAAAATTAAAAAAAATGATATATCAAAATTTCCTTTTGATTTTGGATTTGAGGAAAGTGATAAATATCACTCCAGTAGTAATATGATGTGTCACATGGAGTGTTTTACGTCTTGATTGTTTTCATCACGCTAGATATAGTTTCACTGTACCTTGTGGAGCTTTATGACCAACGCATGATACACCATAGTTGTAATCATAAATATAAATCCATGTAAAACTATGCATTTCTTACATTGAAGAGAATGAAAAACATCACATATCTATTTAAGATCTTTAAAACAGTTACAAGAAGATGACGTATCTCACCATCCATAGAATTCTTATTCGTATATCTATGACGTGGAATACATTTTGATTTATGAAGTAGACGACATCACTATGAACACACGGACACTACGTTGTTTTGAAGAAACATGAGACTAGCCGAAATCAACCTGTTCATGAGACAACAAAGTACAAATGCAAGGAGTGAGAAGGATAATAGCAAATGACAAGGTACCAGGAGAGTGTAAGAACTGGAACAGACATAGCAGCAAAACCTTGAAGTTTCAAAGAACCAAAGCTCCGAAACAAATAACATGTTGTAGCAACAAAGTTTCACAATATAAAAACACAATATTGCACAACCGCCAATGAACTAAAACTGTCAAAGTGTCAAAATATCAAAGATTCAAAATTGCTAAATCCCAATGAACCTAAATGCTGAAGTGTGGAGTATCAAATATGCTAAAGTGCCAAAAACCCCCAAGAATACAAAGAAAATTCCAAAGTTCCTATACATCAAAGTGTACGTTCATCAAATCTAACAATTACTCGACGTCTTCTAGCAGTGCTGCAGCATATTCTTCATTGCTTTTGTCGTCAATGTGAACAAATTGACCAAATCTGATTAGTCAATCAATAAATTTAAATTGTTGATCGTTTCAGCTAACTCAACAACAATCATGTAATTTTGCTCTCAGACCTACTTCGGGTTCCAATTTCATGAGCTTTGCACTACAAAATGCATTTTTTATAAAACTTAACGAGAACGAATACCAAGCGTCTTTCACATAGCTGGCAGCATCCAATAAATGTGCTGGATTTTTGTAAAAAACTCTTGCTGCACCTCGTCGTAATCATGTAAGTCAATGATATTCATAAGATATAAATATTTATATTGTTTCTGTAGAGTAGCAATAATTTCCATATCACAAGATTATTTCTAACTAGTACAATTTGGAGTAAAAAATACCACACTGATGTTGTCATGTTCTAAAACATCGGAGTGTACTAACGCATTATTCATCAGTAAAAGAACAAGACATCATGTTTGTCGTCTGATTTCTAGAACAAAGATTTTGTTGAACCATTTCCAGCAGATTTTCGTGTACATTCAAGATTTCACTTGATTGAAATAAGGAATTTGTCATTGTCGATCTTTGATACACGTTGACTCCTTTGGCTTTCCAATCATTACGCAAGTAATTTTATGTGATCTAGAAGCGTTCGCACAAAGTATCAAAGAAACACATATTTTGTTTTTTTTACCTAAGATGCTCAAAATATACTCGTTCGGCATAAGAATAAAATATCTTGGAATAAAAAAAAACAATACTTTCTGGTCCATGTTGTACACATTCTGAGGATTGTACTCAGCGATGACGAGCGATAATCCTTCTAAGATTGATGATAATTCAAAATCATTTTTGTTCACCTTTGCGTCTTGTCCGTGCAGAATCATTTTTTGTAGACCTCGACGTGTCCTGAAACAATCAAGCCATTGTCATGAGTATTTAAAATTTAAATCAAGAATTGATAATGTAAAAGCGATATCTTTTGACTTTGCAATTGTGAGAGATGGCGGTGCATGAAACTTGGCACGACGCATGCTGTTAATCCAAGTGTACAACATTTCTTCAAGTTCAAAAAATCGTACACTTGAAGCTCTAAAGGTAATCTGACTAATTTCTTCGGAGAGTGAAGTTGATTGTTTGAGAATGAAATATTGTTTCTCCCATATTTTCTTTACAGCAACTTTGCTAATTTCATAATCTCGAGCTAAAGCGCATTTGCTTGAAGAATTCTACTTTCTCAATCTTGCAATGATCTCACATCGTTGGGATTTGTTCAAACGCTTGGTGTTTGATTTCTTTGATATTGGAAATCTACGCAAATGATCTGGAAATAAAACATCTGAGTACGCAACTCTCGGTTAAGTATGCACAAATATTTAGGATTCAAGGTGTACACTTACATGAGAGAATTTTGTATAGTGCAGAAACTTTGGAATATATATTTCAAACACTTGCGAGCAATTTAGCTAAAAATAGCTAAAATATGAGGTTATTTCTTAATCAGCATTAAGCTGAACAACCTCCCCTTAACTCATGTTAAGAAATAA